CAGGGTGTGTGTGTGTGTGTTGGAGGTGGGACCCAAAATTGAATACAAATAGTAATAAATGAATAACATAACCACACTGGAGAGGGTAGAGAAGAAAATAACTAACCTAAATAACTTTAGAAAAGTATTTTGTCTATATACTGTACAGCTAAAAAGAAAAAGAAGAGTACACAAATGTCATACTATAGTTAGTAAATTCCTGTATTACAGGAGCATATGTTAACAATTCTGAAATGTTTATGAATTTTATGGTTTTTTAATGTATTTTTAGGGTTGAGTAAAGTATATTATGGAATGAACTCATGGTGTTTTATAAGATAGAGATGTATATATGTGTTTATGTATATACTTTTATATTTTTCTTAGTTTTTTCTGCTGACATAGCTCTAGCAATGAGTGCACCTAGGGCCTAGATCTGGGTTTCTAAATATTACTCTGCAGTAAAAGAAGACCAAGCTCCTTGGAGAAACGGCTGATTCCAGGGCTGGGGTAGGGGAAATAAATGATGAGCCTTGAACATTTTTGTTGTGCCAGAAAGTAAAAGACCTTTAAAAACATTTTGAAATGACACAGATACCAGCTAGAAGGAACTTTTCATGGTCAGTTGTGAGACAATGGGGGCAACAAAACCACCATAGCAATAGAGTGTAACATATAAATAAAGATGAGTATGAGTCCATATACATATAAGTTAATAATTAAAAAATAAGTAAGTAGGGGGAGAAGACACAGCTCTTTCTTATAGCAGAATTCCATTTAATAAATGTAAAAGAAATGATGGAAAGAAAATCAACATTTGCCATCACACTAATAATTATTGCAAACTGGAGTCATTCATGGATGCTAAAACTAAATGGGATATTTGCATAGTGTCAAAGTGTCTCCCACAAAATACTTATTAATTACAAAGGGAAAAGAGTAATTTTACAGAGGAGAAACCTGTTAGAAAACGCCTTAGTAAATTGGTCGAAGTGAACATTCTCATTTATGGGACAAATTGACCTAATTTACTACCTGACAGGATGCAATGAAAACAACAACATTGTTTCCCTGATATTTCTACCAAAAATACATGACCTGAATCTAAACATGAGTAAATATCAGAAAAAATAAAATTTGGGGCACTATACAAAACAACTGGTCTGTAATATTCAAAAGAGTCAAGGCCTTGAAAGTCAAGGAAAGACTGAAGAACTACTCCATACTGAGGGAGAAATATCTGAAAGCCAAATAAAACATGTGATCCCCGACTGGAGTGTTTTGCTATGAAACACATACTGGGACACTTGGAAGAACCTGAATGAGGTGTGTGGATTCGATGATAGGAATGTATTAATGTTAATTTCCTGCTTTTGATTATTGTATTGGGGTTAAGTAAGACAACACCACTGTTCATAGGAATTACATATAAATTCTAAGTTATTTGGGGCATCATACCAGCAATTTAGTCTCAAATGGTTCAGGAAAAAATATTCTTTGTACTATTTTTGTGACTTTGTTTACAAGTTTGAAATTATTTCAGAAGAAAACAATGTTCACATCAGCATTATTTGCATTAGCCCCAAACTGGAAACCATACAAAGGTTCATCAACAATGAAGAATGGATAAATGAATTCTAGTATATTCATATGGTAAAATATTATATAAAGCAACAAAATGAGCAAACTATAGCCACATGCAACAACTTAGAGCTCATAAATATAATATCAAGCAAAATGAAGCCAAATATAAAAAAAATGCATACTACATTATTCTGTTTTCATAATGTTCAAAAACAGGTAAAATTGATCTGTAATGACAAAGGTCGTGATGGTGGTTACCTCCGAGAAAGCAGGAGACCACGATTAGGAGAGGCACGAGAGGCTTCAGGTGTACTAGCAGTGTTCTGTTTTTTGACCTGCGTTGGGGTCACACATGTTCTGCTCACTTAGTGAGAATTCGCTGAACTCTTATGATTTGTGCATTTTTGTATTATGGTTTTCATAAAAGTTAAAGAAGACTTGTGATATTAAGAAGGAAATATGTCACTTTGAATATTTCTATCAGAAGAGATAGCTGATGGGACGCCTGGGTGGCTCAGGCAGTTAGGCATCTGCCCCCAGCTCAGGTCATGATCCCAGGGTCCTGGGATCGAGTCCTGCATCGGGCTCCTTGCTCAGGGAGGAGCCTGCGTCTCTCTCTGCCTGCCACTCCTCCTGCTTGTACTCTCTCTCTGACAAATAAATAAATAAAATCCTTTAAAAAAATTAAAAAATAAAAAATAAAACAAAATAAAAACAAACCCTCCTTAAAAAAAAAACGAGAATAGGGGCGCCTGGGTGGCTCAGTCGTTAAGCGTCTGCCTTCGGCTCAGGTCATGATCCCAGGGTCCTGGGATTGAGCCCCACATCGGGATCCCTGCTCCGCGGGAAGCCTGCTTCTCCCTCTCCCCCTCCCCCTGCTTGTGTTCCCTCTCTCACTATGTCTCTCTCTGTCAAATAAATAATCTTTAAAAAAAAAAAAAACAAAACCAAGGAGGCTAGAATTATTGGGACAATATATTCAAAGTTCTAAGAGAAAAAAAACAAAAACAAAAACAAAAACAAAAAACGAGAATAGCTGAAAATTAATGAACTAAACACCAACTGAAACCAATATTTTTAAAAGAACAGAACAAAACCAAAATAAAAGGGATGAAATAATAACTTAAGAATGGAAATTAATGAAATGAAAATGGAGATATAGGGGCGCCTGGGTGGGTCAGTCAGTTAAATGTCTGCCTTCAGCTCAGGTCATGATCCCAGGGTCCTGGGATTGAGCCCCAATCAGGCTCTCTTCAGCGAGCCTCTCCTTCTGCCTACTGCTCTGCCTACCTGTGCTCTCTCTCTCTCTCTCTCTGTCAAATAAATAAAATCTTAAAAAAAAAAAAGAAAGAAAATGGAGATATAATAGAGAATATAATACAATAGAGAACAAAGCCACAAGTTGATTATTTAATAAGACTAGTAAAATTGATAAGCCTGTTGTGAAACGGATCAAGAAAAATGAGGAAGAGGCAGGTAAGGTAAGAAATGTGAAGGTGGGGGCGCCTGGGTGGCTCAGTTGGTTAAGCGACTGCCTTCGGCTCAGGTCATGATCCTGGAGTCCCGGGATCGAGTCCCGCATCGGGCTCCCTGCTCGGCAGGGAGTCTGCTTCTCCCTCTGACCCTCCTCCCTCTCATGTGCTCTCTCTCATTCTCTCTCTCTGAGATAAATAAATAAAATCTTAAAAAAAAAAAAAAAGAAATGTGAAGGTGGCCATAAGTACTGATGTAGTTGAGATAAAAGCAAAATAAAACAAAAACATTGCCAGCAACTTCCGGCAAATAAATTTGAAAATTTAAATGAAATGGAAGAATTTCTACAAAATATTAGTTAAGACTGACTCAAAATAGATAGAAAACCTGAATGATCCTATAACCAATCAAGAAAAAGAATCAAGGGGCACCTGGGTGGCTCAGTCGGTTAAGCTCTGCCTTTGGCTCAGGACCTGGTCTCAGGGTCCTGGGATCAAGCTCCCTGTCGGGCTCCCTGCTCAGTGGGGAGCCCACTTCTCCCTCTCCCTCTGCTCTCCACTCCCCCCAACCCCACTTGTGCTCTCTCGCTCAGTAGATGAATGTGCTCTTGTGCTCTTGTGCTCTCTTCTTTCAAATAGATGAATAAAATCTTTGGGCAAAAAAAAGAATCAATTGTTAAAGTACCAGATTTAAAAAATATGTTCTTTCAAGGGTACCTGGCTGGCTCAGGCAGTAGAGCATGCTACTCTTTTTGTAGGAATGTGAATTCAAGCCCCATGTTGGGCACAGAGCTTACTTGAAAATTAAAAAAACCAAAAAACAATAAGGGATGTTCTTTCAAACATTTAAGGATGAGATAATTCCCAAGTTGTACAGCTCCTCCAGAGAACAGAAAAAGGGGAACATACCTCAACTCATCATATGAGGCTAGAATGTAATCTCCACCAGGATAGACATTTTTCTCTTTTGTTCATGATATGTCCAAGTGCCTAGAATAGCTAGCACCTTGGGTATAGTGGGCATTCAAAAAAATTTTTGTTCAGTGAATGAATGTATAGAATAGTCTTGAAACTAAAACCAGGTAAGGTCAATAAAACAAGGACAATAAGCCCATTGTCATTTACGTACGGCTGCAAAACTCCTAAACACAATAGTAGCAAGCAAAATCCAGAATATACAAAAGTGATACTTGTATAACAACGAAGTTGGGTTTATCCCAGAATACAGGGGTGATTAGGAAATCTATTAGTGTAGTCTACCACGCTAACAGATTGAAGAGGGGAGAAACATATTTATTTTAGACGAGGCAAGGCAGGTCACAATTGGGAAATTACATAATTTATATTATTATACCTAAAATATATAGCAAATTCCTTTAAAAATCAATACAAGAGGGGCACCTGGGTGGCTCAGTTGTTAAGCGTCTGCCTTCTGCTCAGGTCATGATGCCAGGGTCCTGGGATCGAGCCCCGCATCGGGCTCCCTGCTCAGCTGGAAGCCTGCTTCTCCCTCTCCCACTCCCCCTGCTTGTGCTCGCGCTCTCTCTCTCTCTCTCCCTCTCTCTCTCTCGCTGTGTCTCTGTGTCAAATAAATAAATAAATGATCTTAAAAAAAAAAAACAAATACAAGAAAGACAACACACCTGCCCCCCAAATGAGCAAAGGACAGAATCAGATATTTCACAAAAGCAGGAAGACGAATGGGCACTAACATGACAAGAGCCTCGGCTTCATCAATAAGCAGGGACGTGAAAAATAAAACCTCAGAGCAGCAGCCGTGGAGGCGCCCCGCCCGCACAGCCCCCGCGCTGGTGCAGCCGCCCTCGCTCCCTCTGCTCCTCTTCCTTCGCTCGCACCAGGGCTGATCAGCCGACCTAAGAACAGATTGCAGAGTTCAAGGAGGCTTTCTCCCCATTTGGCAAAGATGGCGATGGCACCATCACAACAAAGGAACTTGGAACAGTCATGAGGTCACTGAGTCAGAACCCAACAGAACCTGAATTGCAGGATCTGATCAACGAGGTGGATGCCGACGGTAATGGCACCATTGACTTCCCAGAATTTTTGACTATGATGGCTAGAAAAATGAAAGATACAGACAGTGAAGAAGAAATTCGCAAGGCATCCAGAGTCTTCGACAAGGATGGCAACAGTCACATCAGCGCGGCGGAGCTACGTCATGTCACGGGAGAAAAACTAACAGATAAAGAAGTAGATGAAATGATCAGAGAAGCAGATATTGATGGAGATGGGCAAGTCAACTATGAAGAATTTGTACAGATGATGACTGCCAAATGAAGGCCTACTTTCAACTCCTTTCCCCCCTTCTAGAAGAATCAGATTGAATCTTTTACTTAGCCTCTTGCAAAAAAAAAAAAAAAAAGTTCATTTACTCATTCTGTTTCTATATAGCAAAACTGAATGTCAAAAGTACCTTCTGTCCACACAAAATCTGCAAGTATTGGTTGGTGTTCCTGTCCCCTAGAGATCAAGCTACACATCAGTTCTACGGTATAAATACTTGTACTACCTTAATGATAAGGAAGCACCTAGTGGACTCCTTGCAGTTCCATTTGCTCATGATTAATACACTGTTTGGGCTGGCCAGTTTTTCATGCAAGCAGCTTGACAATTGAGCACAGTCAGGCATTTGTATTAAAAGCGAAAAATGTAAAAAACAAATTTAAAACTTCTTCAAATGTGTTCTAATTCAACTTGTTAGTATAAATTGTCATAGCTGGTTTACTGAAAACAAAACATTTAAAATTGGTTTACCTCAGGATGCTGTGCAGAAAAATGGGTGAAGGATAAACTGTCTAGACGTAGCCCCACTTAGCAGGACGGCACTCTCGTATTTCCGGGTGCCCCCACCCATGGTGACCATGACACGCATCCCGGTGGCATGCTGTGTGTGTTGGTTTAGCGTTGTCCCGTGTTGTCCTAGAGCGAAATGGGTGTCACGCTGTCACCATTCACACCATTCACCATTCACACACACACACACAATTTTTTTTTTAAAAGAAACCTTTACCAAGGGAGCATCTTGGGACTCTCGTTTTTAAAACCTCCTGAACCATGACTTAGAGCCAGCAGAGTAGGCTGTGGATGTGGACTTCAGCACACCCATCAACATTGCTGATCAAGAAATTACAATTTACGTCCATTCCAAGTTGTCAATGCTAGCCATTTTTTTCCAATAAAAAAGACCATTAACTGAAAAAGAAAAAGAAAGAAAAAGAAAACCTCAAATTCCAGTTCTCACTCTTACTCAATAGGCAAAAGTAATTGTCAATACCAAGTGTTGGTGAGGATACAGAGCATCGAATCTCTCATATATTGCTGGTGGGAGTGTACATTGGGACAAGCACTGTGGGAAATCTTGGCATTATCTAATAAAGTTGTAGATGGATTTACCCTATGCCCGAATGTTCCTCTCCTTGGTGTCTACTGTAGAGAAAGTCTTGCACATGGACTTCAAGAGGTAAGTATAAGGATGTGTCAAAGAGTGTTGTTTGTTATAGCAAAAACTGGAAACAATCCAAAAGTCCATCAGCAATAGAACTGGATAAATAAATAGTAACTTAATACAAACATAGTGAAAAGGAAAAACTACAACACATGCATCAACATCAATGAATTTCATAATATCTCTCATCAAAAAAAACAAGTTAGGGGGCGCCTGGGTGGCTCAGTCGGTTAAGCATCTGCCTTTGGCTCAGGTCATGATCTCAGGGTCCTGGGATCGAGCCCGGCGTTGGGCTCCCTGCTCAGCTGGGAGTCTGCTTCTCCCTCTCTGTCTGTGTGCCCCCCCACCCCAGACTCCCTGCTTATGTTTCTCTCTCTGTCTCAAATAAATAAATCTTTTTTTTAAAAAAGCAAGACAAGGTATGATTCCACATGTACAAGTTAAAAACATGCAAAACTGTATCTTAAATACACAATATACGATTAGATTGCAAAGAAAGGCCAGGAAAAATAAACACAAAATTCAGGATAGCAGCTCTGTCGGCTGGGATGTGAATGGAGAGAGCGAGTACCAAGGAACTTCAGTGGTACTAGTGCCGTCTGATCTTGAATCATGGTTCAAGGGAGTTTGTTTTATTATTATTATTATTCAAGTATGCTAATTCTATTTTTGTCAGTATGATTTTGTTCATAATAAAAAATATTTTAACAGAAAAAGAAGCAATTCTTACAAGCTGAGGGTTGGGGTGGTGATGGGTATTGTCCTTAGAAATCAATACAAGAAGTGCAGGACCCTTCCAGGTCATCCCCACAGGTGATTATCCACTTTCTGTTTCATTTTTTAATTTTAATTTTTGTGCGTCCTTTTATTGTGGAATATTTCATAAGTACAAGAGTGAATAGAGAATAATATAATAATCACATATGTGTTTGTGACCTTATGTAAAACTTCACAAAAATAGTTGAAGCCCCTGGTGTAACCCTCCCCAATTACATTCCCCTTCCTGCACTCCAATATCCATGATTCTGAAATTTGTATCTGTCATTCCCATACTTGTCTTCCTAATTTCATGCATGTGCCCTTAAGAGTTTGTATTGTATTGTTTTGTATTGTATTGCTTGACATGTTTGGCATTTTATATAAATGGCATCATTCAGGACATATCCTTCTGCAACACCTTTTCCCCCAACCTTTTTTTTAATGTTGATCCATGTTGATATGGCAGGATTCTTTTTTTTTTTAAGTTTAATTATTCAAGTAATCTCTATACCCAGTGTGGGTCTCAAACTCACGATCCCGAGATCATGAGTCACACGCTCTATCGACTGAACCAACCAGGTATCTCTGGCAGGATTCCTTGTATCCAGTCTTAATTTATGTTTATAATGCTCCAAAATTAAAAAAAAAAAACTTTTTGTTATGGGAAGTTTGAAATATATGCAGGAGTAGGCAGAGTATCATAACGGTCCCCCATGTACTCATCTCCCAGATTTAACAGTTATCAACATGTGGTCAGTTTGGTTTCATCAATTTCCCCACTCATTTCCTACCCTCTTATATGATTTTGGAGCAAATCCAAGACATCATATAATTCTCCCCTAAGCATTTTGATATGTATCAAAGCTAAGACCTCTTCTTACAAGGACATAATTATAGGTCTTTATAACAGTTATTAACACTTTGTTAATATCATCAACTATTCAGTGTTCAAATTTCCATAGTTCTCATATTTTCACATTGTTTGAATCAGGCCTCTGTTTTAATTTTTTTCTAAATTGCTGATGGGTTGCTCTGCACAAGGCATTTAGTGAAGTTCTGTTGAACATGTGTTGGGCTGAAGATCTCACTGAGTGGAGGGCACCTGCTCGCTCCACTGATGGGCCGAGAATCTAAACTTCTTCAGGTGGCTTGTGGAAACTGGCAGGCATTTCCACAGATACTGGGTTTGTTCATCACTGGTAATCATTTAACTCTGTGATAATGTTCTTTTCAGTCAATTTGTAGACCTTGTGTAAAGAATGCCTGTGGCATATTTTTATTCGTAATACCCTGTTAGATGGTTGTGCAGGTACTCAATATTTACCATCAGGAAAGGTAGAAATATAATACTTCTTTGTTTACTAATAATACCGCTAAGCAAATGATGATTTTGTCACCTTACCATCCTGGTTCTTTCTTGAAACAAAGAAGGGCGTGGGATGAGACAAAAGAGTGAGGTGATGACTGAATGAGGTCATGTACGTGGAAGTAGGTTGCAGCCCATTAGGTGCTCTACAAAGGTGGTTTTAATACAACCAGCAGCCCTCATCTCTCACATGCTTTACTTCTGTAGTCACTGTACTTACAGCTTTTCCTTAGTCCACCTATCCAACATTGAGACTCTCATCCATCAGTTGGACTAATGCAGTCTGGCATCCTCTGCCAGGTCCATCACGTAGTCTTGAAAGTGGTGCTCTCATTGTTGGCACAGTGGTGCTCATGTGACAGTTTGAATATTTTGGGCATAAAAATAGAAATTATTGGGAGCAGAAACATGAGGCTACTGAGGCTCATGATTAGAAGCATCACTTTCCTGAATGTAATACCATTAAGACAAAGATGAGCTCCTTAGGGGTACAAAAGCATGAATCTTTGGTCCATCTGGACTCTTAATCACATGCCAGATGACATATTCAGTTGTGAAGAAAAGAAAAAAAAGGAAGAATATCTACAAATGCTGCAAATATATTGTTTAATACTATACTATAATTAAAATGCAAAATGTAGGGCACCTGGGTGGCTCAGTCATTAAGTGTTTGCCTTCGGCTCAGGTCATGATCCCCAGGGTCCTGGGATCGAGTCCCACATCGGGCTCCTTGCTCAGCAGGGAGTCCGGTTCTCCCTCTCCCTCTGCCCCTGCTTGTGTCCCCTCTCTTGCTGTGTCTCTCTCTGTCAAATAAATAAATAAAACCTTAAAATAAATAAATAAATAAATAAAACGCAAAATGTAATTAGGGATTACATAATGTTTTTAGCTTTCTAGGAATGAACTGTCCTTAAAACATTTAACCCATTGTTTGACCATACCTTTGCATTTGAATCTGTTTTCAGAAACACAAAACTGCCCATAGTTGAGGAATGCTTCCTCTCTCCCAGTTACCCACCGAGCTAGAATTATGGAGATGGACTGAGGAGAAAACCAGCCTACCCCTGCCACAAGGTTGTACTTCTCAGCCAGCCTGCTGTGGAGGGCAGCAGGAGAAAGGGAGTGGTGAGCTCTGTCCAGAAGAATAAGCCACTCCTCTTTCTCTAGCAGCCCAGAGCAATTATTTCATGAGGAACCATCTTGACGACGTATGCCCAGTCATATAGTCAAGCTATGCTGTTCAGCTGCATTGTTGCCTGTTGTAATAGGTGTTGTAGGTGTCATCTGGTATTTGGGTGAGGCAGGAACCTGAGCAGTCTCACTTGAAGTCTTGTTGACATTGGGAACTTCGCACTGCCTTAAAACATTATTTGGTACAAGGCAGAGGACTCGTTCAGCAGTTAGGACTGCTGGTTTTCTGCAGCTGAAACCCAGTTGTAGTCACTGGCCTCATGGTCTTGACTATCTACAGGGGGGGTTAGATGACGCAGCACAGTTGTGCAGCCTTCACCATCTCTTCTGCCCTTGAATTACAAACATACCAAGAATGCACATCACAACTGCATCACCAGGAAAAGCAGGCTAGAAGTGCTTCTAGCTCTGTGCCATGTTTTAGGTCTAACACGTTGTGTGTTTATTTTGGCAAAGGCTTTGGGAGCAGAGGAAGTCATAGTCTGATTTTATCATTTCAATCTCAAAACATCACTGATAATAGTTTTCCCTTGATGGCTCCCTAAACTCAGCAATGTTCAATTGTATTTTACAGCATTTGCTCTCCAGAGGTAAATTCTTTTTTAAGATTTTATTTATTTATTTGAGAGAGAGAGAGAGGGAGCAACAAGCAGGGGGACTGG